GAGAGAAAAGGTTAAAATGGCCCGTTGTCTGCCTGCCTGTGAATTTGGAGGAGACAAGTTGTGTGGCTGCTGTTACTCCCAACCAGGGCTGGGGGGTGTCTTTAGGCAAATGTGTGTCTGCCCCCCTGGGACTACCCAGCTGAACTGGGCAATCTCTGCATTAAAATCTCTTCAGATGTCTGGCTGTGGTGGAGAAGTTGGTCTGTAAAAAGTAAAAGTTTCCCACAGGGTTTTGTGCTGGACAGCAGAAATACATAGATGTTTCTTTGATAATGATAGTCAGTTTGAATCTGACATTCACTTGAGAGACTGTCAGTGGGAGCAGGAATATCATCCCTTGTACATCTAGATTAATGTTTATGGTTCCATCTAGGGTACCATACAGGTTACTTTAATCTTGATTGCATGTGTGTGTAGATGCTTGTGCATGTGGGAGGCAACCGTGAAAGTTCTCTAACGGTTGTGTTTTCTTTCTGAAGATAGTATTGATTTCCAGAGATTTCAGTACTTACCTGTCTTTTTCCCATAGGAATGTCAACCCACGCCTGGGAGATATCCTGCAGAAACTGGCTCCTTTTCTGAAGATGTATGGAGAATATGTAAAGAACTTTGACAGGGCGATGGACATGGTGAACACATGTATGCAGAGGTCCTCTCCGTTCAAAGATGTTGTTCAGAACATACAGGTATGTTGTTAATTGGCATAATATGGCTTGAAGATCCTCCTCTACTTGTGTGAGTTTATTTTTTTTTCATTGCATGACCCACAATGTTTAGCTACAAGACAACGCTGCTCTAATACTAAAAATACCCAATTTTATGGCAGTCTTTCTCTTTTGCTGTGTGACACAGATTTTTCACATAGGTGACTTTCTGCACTCACATATTTAAGAGGACTATCAGAACTCACAGGCTGAAACTTTGCCATGACCTGGCAATTCTGACTGTGAACATGCCTATTTATAAACTCTTTTTGATTTATCTCTCCCATTACTAATTTTAATTGCTTTACATTTTCATTCTGAGGTGGGGATGTGTTTGAGTTTGGGCACATTTGTCTGCTGTTGGTCTGATTTTTCTAAGGTTCACAAGGTGACACGCATCTCTCAGGAATCACAGGTCTGCAGGAGGATGCTTAGCATGGATTTTCATGGGTCTTTTTATTGATTTTACAAAAAGTTACATGGGAAGGGAGGAAGAGCTCTGCTTCTGTTGGTGTATCCATAAAACCTCTTTCTCCCACTCAGGTCAGCTGAAGGGATGCAGCAGGCTCCGGCAGCTTGCAAGCATCCCTCTGCTGGTGCTAGGAAAGCAAATACCGTCCTTTGGGAGGGGAGGGCTGGCCAGGAGCAGGTTAGGCGGAGGAGGGAGCACAGCTGCCTGCACTAAATGGGAGGATTGTGGCTGGACCAGTTGTCCAGAGTCAAGTAGTCCCAAGAGGAGAGACCCTGCGCACGTCAGGGCTGCAGCCTGACTCCAGCAAAAGCTTGGAGCAGGAACTGGGGAAGGTCCTCTCCTACCAGGCTGTCCACATGGCCCTTTCTTAACCTTTTTCTGTCTGAACCCGGTCAGCTATCACCTAGGTTCTGTACAGTAAGTGCTGTAAAAAGAAAAAGCGCACAGGTATTTTGCTGTCTTAAGTTAATGCCAAGCCATTGACATGGCTTTCTGAAGCATAAATCAGTTTGTGACGCAGGAACTGGGGAAGGTCCTCTCCTACCAGGCTGTCCACATGGCCCTTTCTTAACCTTTTTCTGTCTGAACCCGGTCAGCTATCACCTAGGTTCTGTACAGTAAGTGCTGTAAAAAGAAAAAGCGCACAGGTATTTTGCTGTCTTAAGTTAATGCCAAGCCATTGACATGGCTTTCTGAAGCATAAATCAGTTTGTGACTCTACCTAAAATTCATCCCACTACCACACTGCCAACACAAAGGATTTGTGTTGGCTGTCAGTCTGCAAAACTGGTCTTCAGCTGTCGGACACCATGAGTATTCTGCTGTGCTTAAGCAAAACTTTGTCAGGCAGGCAGTGCATATAGGAGATGCGGTTTTCTGAAGCCTACTGATGACAGCATTTCACTGTAGGTTATTTTAGCGGCAGCATCACAGCACATTTTGCTTCTGTCAGTGACCACACCTGCAGGAGGCAGAGATGGGACCCAGAACATTTAGTCCACTCAGCTGATCTATCTCTGTGTGGTTAACATGCTGATGTGGGATTCAGGACTCAGATTACATCGCTAACAGAAACTTCCTGTCTGCTTTAAAACAAGTTAGCTACTCCTACTGTGTTTCTCATTTCTCCTCCCCTCTTTGAAAGAGAAATATCCCTTCACATTGTAGGGATCCTATGAAAATAAGTACACCACAACACTCAGTACAGTTGCAAGCAGAGCAGTTTGGTGCCTTATTAGTGTAAGCAGTCTCAAACCTACCCCCTTCTTGGTAAAGTGAAAAGAAAAAGAGAATTTGAGGCAGCTCCTTCTTCAGAGGTGGTGAGCAGTGTATCTGCTACCTGTACAGCTCTAGCAAGCAGTTATATCCCCGCGGGCTTCTGGATTTATATCGTCTTTAGGAGGAAAAACGCTGCTTGGGGTCATAGGTGGGAAGAGCTTTTCTGAGCCTGTGAAGAAACATGTAAAAACTAAGATTTGCATATCTGCAGAAAATGCCAGACATGGGACAAAGGTTCAAGTGAAACCTGTCAGTTCTGATATCTGCATGAGGGTAGAAAGGCTCTTCGGAGGGATCTGGACAGGCTGGATTGATGGGCCAAGGCCACTGTGTGAGGTCCAACCAGGCCAAGTGCCGGGTCCTGCACTTGGGTAACAACAAACCCCTGCAATGCTACAGGCTTGGGGACGAGGGGCTGGAAAGCTGCCCGGCGGAAAATGACATGGGAGTGTTGGTCAACGGTAGCTGAATATGAGCCGGCGTGTGTCCAGGTGGCCAAGGGCAATCAGCATCCTGGCCTGTATCAGGAACAGTGTGGCCAGCCGGAGCAGGGCAGGGATAGTTCCCCCTGTGCTGGGCACTGGGGAGGCTGCATCTTGAATCCTGGTTCAGTTTTGGGCCCCTCGCTGCAAGAAAGACACTGAGGGGCTGGTGCATGTCCAGGGAAGGGCAGTGGAGCTGGGGAAGGGTCTGGAGCACAAGTGCTGTGAGGAGCAGCTGAGGGAGCTGGGGGTGTTCAGCCTGGAGAAGAGGAGGCTCAGGGGAGACCTTATCACTCCCTACAACTCTCTGAAATTAGGCCACAGAAGAGGTGGGGATTGGTCTGTTCTCCCAAGTGACAAGTGATGGGGCAAGAGGAAACGGTCTGAAGTTGTGCTAGGGCAGGTGTAGATTGGATATTAGGGAAAATTTCTTCATCAAAAAGGCTGTCAGGCCTTGGAACGGGCTGCCATGGGAAGTGGTTGAGTCATCATCCCTGGAAGGATTTAGAAGATGTGTAGATGAGGTGCTTAGGGATGTGGTTTCGTGGTAGACTTGGCAGTGTTAGGTTAACAGTTGGACTTAAAGGTCTTTTCCAAACTAAATGATTCTGTGATTCTATGATAGCTTAAAAGGTTATTTTATGCTCTTCTAACTTAGGTGGTCATTTTTCATTGCTGTTTAACACCGGAGGCAGGAAGAAAACCAAACCCTTCTGTGCTTTTCTGTCCGTTACAGAAGCAGGAGGTGTGTGGAAACCTGACATTACAGCATCACATGCTTGAACCAGTGCAAAGGATTCCTCGTTATGAACTTCTCCTAAAGGACTATTTGAAGAAACTTCCAGAAGAGTCTCCAGACAGGAAAGATGCTGAAAGTACATGTAAACTCCTCTCTGTCTAATGAGAACAATAAAATATTGGAGGGTTTTTTCTTCTCATGTTCAGATACTTTCAACTAGGGCTATAGTAGAAATCAAGATGTAAGTTAACCAAATTATTGCCAAACGCAATAAGGATATTCAATGCTATTAGAGTAGAGAAGAAAAGAGTTGATATGTCCTGTCTAGGAGCAAAGGGAGCTTTGACAAACAAACAATGACAAAATGTTGAGGTTTGTAATGACAGAACATCTGGCATTTTTATTTAACCATTGTATGGCCAAGGACAAATACAGGAGGACATCCTTGCAATAGCCAGAGGAAGAAAATAAGAATGGTCTTAAACATATGTGTTTCCCTAGGAAATCAGGGGAACTGATTTCCATAAACACAAAGGAACGGGAGAAATGGATTACTCTTGGTTTCTAGGAGTTTGTGTTCATGTCCAAAGCAGGGTTCACGTTACTGTAAGCACACAAGCCCTGTTTTAGGAAAACACCTTTAAAAAACATGCTTGTGAATTCTAAATGAGACTTGACTTGGACTAGGTTGATTCCTAGACGGGGATTTTTTTTGTCACTATTACTTTGGCTTGCCTAGACTTTTAGGAGAGAAAGATTAAACATTCAGATGCACATGGACTAGCTGAACATGCAGAAGTGATTGTGTATATAATTGCTTCTAAGTGTTCCTTTACATAAGGAAAAAATACGGTCCTTGCTTTTGCAGCAGCTATTTTGCAGGAAAAACACTAATCAGGGAGGTGAAAAAAAAAACCCTCTAAAACCCAAGGTGCTATTAACAGATGTAATCTGGAGAATGCATTACTGTTGCTACCTTTATTTCAGAATCACTGGAGCTCATATCTACGGCAGCGAACCATTCAAATGCAGCCATCCGAAAGATGGTGAGTAGGAATTGCGTAACGGAATTGTAATCTGACTGAAAGGCTTGGTTAAACCAATGGTCCCTCACTGCAATAGGCTCAATAAAGTAGGCTGGGGAGAATTTTCAAATACAGTGAGTCAGGCTTTAAACATCAGTTGAATATCTGAGTTCTTTTTATCATAAATGATCTTATTGCAGTTACCATGGATTGTTGGGCCTAAATACAACTTTTCTTGTTGTTAATGACCCAGTGAGTTGAGAAGGTCTTTAAAAAAACATCATTTGCTTTTCATTGAAAAAATGTTGCAAATATTCCAATTAGGATAATTGCTATAGCGTCCTTGCATATTTTCACGCTATTCTTTTAGTTCTACAGGTCTTCACGAGACTGGAGGTCATTTTGGTTTGATTTTGGCTCATTTTAAATGCATAGAGTGTGCATTTAGCCTGTGTCAGTAGCCTTTGGTCAGCTATACTTCTAAAGCTGGTCAGTCTGAGACTGCTGAGATTTTGAATGTTAGCATATGATACAGAACAGCTAGTCTATTACCATTAAAGTAAATGGACTTTATAGTTAGAGATTTTGTCCCTCTTGTGCACCCAGGTGCCTCAGAAGCTTGTGTATCTAATAGATATGAAATGCTATGTGTCAGGCTTAACACTCACTGACCACTTGTGGGTACAGGGTTTATACCCCTTCCATATCACACCTTTACTTCCTTCTCCCAGCCAGTGGGGACACCACGAGACCGCGTTTTCTGGGCGGCTGTGGGGAAGTAACCAGCTGATGTCTGTATTTTCAGTATGTCTCGGTGAAAACCGGTTTTGAAACCATCTATTTCTATTTGAGTCTACCGTATTCTCTAGATACGGATGTATTTTGGTGGAGATTTTTCTTGTTTGGGGCCTTGGACAACTCCTCCGCAAGTAACATGTTGCTGTGCACTGTGTGTATAGTATCCTCACAGGTAGCAGGAACATGAAGCCAACAGCCCGTTGCTTTCTTTGTTGCATGCTTTTTCTGTTAGCATGCAAAAACCTGTTAGAAAACACTTCTATAATAATTTTGCACCCCCTGTGTTTTGCTGATAAGAACCTGAAGCCTCTAATCAGGGCTCAGTTTTTCCTTTAAAAAACCCAGCTTGATAACTCACTGGGATTTGTTTGTTTTAAATTAGTGGGATCTATATTAGTGGGATCTATTGCTTATCTTCTCGTTTGGTGGAAAAACTCTACTGCCTTGAATGGCCTAGGTGATTTGCTTATTTGTTTTTAGTCCACTCTACCCCCCCACCCCCCACCCCATTTTGTTTTGCAGTGTTTATTTTAACAGTTTGGGGAGGGTTGTCGTGGGGTTTTTAGTTTGTTCATTTGTTTAATCGTTGGTCAGAAGAATTGCTTAGGACAGGAACTGGTGTGTTGTATATTTGTAGTGAAACTTTTGAGGTCAGACGAGGGTAAACAAAGTGTAAATTCCAGACTAATCTATAAATAAACCTGGAATTCCAGCTTTAGCTATAGATAGGTTGAGTTATGCTTTAGAGATGTGTTTGGTCATATTTTTGGGTGTAATTGCATAGGTCTCTGACCTCACTTTCTGACCGTTCGCTGACAATGCTGTTTGGAGCACATCAGTCCAGCTTGTGGTTGAAAGCCAAACCCTTCAAAATGCTATAACTCAGCAGAATTTACACACCTTTCTATCTGACTTGTTAAAGCTGCTGCAGTGCTTCATATAGCAGCTGCAGGTGGGTGAGCTGGTTACCTTTATCCATTTGAATACTGTGTAGAGGGACTTTAATACTGGGTTGACTTAATATAAAGTACAAACAGTGCTTTGCTGAAAAGGTAAAAGTGATGCCTTCATAAAGAAATTTCACTAAGACATGAGGATGCCTGAATGGCAGTAAAGCTGTATTTTAAGCATTTTGTCCTGACTTATTTCATAGGTACTTGGTGCCATGGGGGCACATGTGTAGGACTGTAGCATTCCCCATACAGCTGACGTTTTAGACTTAGCTTAGAAATGCAGAATACGTCCATGCTTCCTGATGGAGACCTATCTGCCATTTTATCAGCAACAGCACAAGAGATAAAACTTCTCAGAAGCTGAGAAACGATCATGCTGTAGCAGAAATACTAGTCTGAGATGTGGGATGGAAGTTAATACATTCAAACTTGGAACCCATTTGGTAATGTACTAGTCTCTAACCTGGCCATTGATTTTAGTGGAGGCAACACCATTGCTTCCAAAGGTATGTATTTATTGTTGAATAGGAATAGTTAAGAATATCAAATAGATTGATCTCAAAATGTCATTAAAATGGCACCATTCTAGTATGACTCGTGTGACTAATGCAGAGTGGAGAAGAGTACTGAAGAGAATGGAACAGGTATTCATTAATTTTTGAAAATGCAGAGCTATAGCATAAGTGAAAGACTATTTTCTTTCCTACTTATTTACACTTAACACAAAAATGATACTGTGGGTAACAGATTAAGTGGAATTGTTGTTGTTTTTAATGTCTGGGTTTTGTGTACTTGCAGGAAAAGATGCACAAGCTTTTGGAAGTCTATGAGCGACTTGGTGGTGAAGAGGATATTGTTAACCCAGCCAATGAGCTCATTAAAGAAGGACACATTCAGAAACTTTCAGCAAAGAACGGCACAGCGCAGGATAGGTATTTATTCCTGGTGAGCTTTTTTTTGTTTCTCTCTGATCTTCAGAGTTGTGCTGTGAAATGGTACAATTCCATCTTCCTAAGCTCAAATACAAAAAGCTTTCTCCAACTGAGCCCAGCTACTCCTTCCTCTGAACAACAGTTTTCTCTTGATGCTTTTTCCTTGAGAATTCCCTTTCTTCTACCATGCTAGTGCCTTTGCTGATGGCTTGTCAGGCCCAAAGGGTTCTTTCCCATCTCCCTCCTCAGATGCTGTGTTTTTGCGAACTGCCCGAGGAGGTGTGTTTCCAGCTGTACCGCCTTGCTGCCTAAGATGACAGGCTCTAAGAGAATAGCTCCTGTTTGCTTTCAAGGTGCCAGAGAGAGGGGGAGATGTGGGAAGTGACTGGCTGATATGTTTCTGTCTGTCCACTTCTTTCAAGTAATGATACGTGAGCCTAGCTTGCTCCTCAAAGCACTTCTTGAGAACTGCATCTTAGCGTAAAACATGCCACAGGCCCCAACGTGTCAAAATGCAGGCTCTGTCCAGCATGTAACCCCTCAACTTAAAATCTTCCCTTCCTACAGTTCAACAGCATGGTGCTATACTGTGTGCCAAAACTGAGGCTGATAGGCCAGAAGTTCAGTGTTCGGGAGAAGATGGACATTGCAGGACTGCAGGTTAGCATTTCTTCCTTTCACCTGTTTTAATGCTTCTCCACTCAATTGCGTTGGATCCCCTCTGGATCCAAAAATACAATAATATATGTATGTAGAAATATAAGAAAATTCCAAAATCCAGCTCTTTTTTTCATCTCCTTGTTTTTTAATATTGTGAGATAATCATCCAGAGGTGGGTACAAAAATGGTGACTCCGTACTGCTTTGACTGAAACCTTCCCTTGTCACCTAGCTGACACAGGCATCACCTTTTCCCCCTGATGCTGTAGGGGATTGGTGATACAGATTCAGAATTTTGTAGCAAAATGAGTAATTACAGAAATCATCCTTTGTTTTTTCTACCTCTCTACTGTATTTGGACTGATCTTTTCACCCAAGCATTTCAAATCGAATATATTCATAAGTCATTAAAGATGATGGAAAGACAATGCAAACAAGTAAGAAGCTGACCCGTTCTTTTTACAGGTCCAAGAAATTGCCAAGCAAAATGTGGCTCATACGTTTTCAATAACAGGAAAAAAGAGATCGCTGGAACTCCAGGCCAGGTATGGTGCTGGTTCTCGCTTTCGAGGTTTGTGAATATTGATGTAGAAATTTATGATCTAAGGGGTATAAGGCTGTGCTAATATGGCATAGCTTTAAACCAGGAGATGAGCGCATGTACCTTACATGTGCAAGACAGTATGGTGGTCCTAAGCCAGAGTGTGCTCTGTTGATTTGCTTTATTGAATGCTCATGGTGTTTATAGTAGTGCTTGTGGGTTCCACTGTATTAATAATGCCAACATTTTTGTATTTGCTTGATAACAATTGAGGTGATAGTGGATAGCAAAACTAAAATCTTGATGTATATAAAGCTGTAAAGATGTGAATTGAATTTATGGAAAATATTTTATGTAGAATTACAATGTTTTCTGGTTTGTTTTTTTTTGTTGTTGTTTTAACAGAACAGAAGAAGAGAAGAGGGAATGGATCCAGGTTAATACAAAATCATTATGATATGAGTGGATATTACAATGCAGTCAGCATCTTCTGTTTGTAAAATGACCTTTGGGGGTTGTGAATGAATATGGCTGTGCTAGGAAGCTGGGTAGTCTGGGCTGGCAAAGCTGCTTATGGAGAAATGTGGAGCCCCAGTCAGGGTCATACTGCTGACCCACTGTCTCCAGGAAGTGCAGGGGGCTTTGAGTGGGCTCCTCTCTCCTGCAGTCCTTCAGCCCAGCAAGAAAAGAGGCTGAGGAGTCGGAGATGAGTCTCGTATATTCCTATAGTCTGGTAGAGACAATGTCTTAAAGCAGTCGTAGTATTTAAATTAACTCACTATTCATTACCTTTAACATCACCAGTCATGGTTATTAAGGGATTTAAGTTTACGTTTCATTTATGCAAGGGTTTTCACTAAAATGATACCCATTTTCCTATGAGATAAGTTTTCCAAGGCTCCTTTTGTGATGCTTCTCATCTTTGCTGGAATTTTTGTCTCAGGTCATTCAAGCAACAATTGAAAAGCACAAACAGAACAGTGAGACATTTAGAGCTTTCAATAGCTCTTTTTCTCAAGAGGAGGATCATCCTGATTCCTCAGTAAGTATGAGTGCTTAATCCTCCTTCTTTGCTGTAACAGTTTTGCTAACAGTTAAACTAAACTTACACAACTAACTTAAAAATAGCATAGTCTTGTTCTTGATTTTTTTTTTATAATAGACTACAGTACAGTCAGATCCATTTCTCTGGCTCTCAAGTGCATATCAGTCATAGTTAGTTAACCATGCAGGTATGGAATAAATTACCCAGGGTAATCCGGTGCGAGAGACCTAGCAGTCATGTTTTCCAGATAGTGGCTCATTTAGCGTAAAAGGTGTAATATTCAATGTTATGAGTGGTTGGCTGTCTGGAATTATGTTTGTGTGCCTGGGAGATTTTGTTCATTACCTTTCTCTATCTCGTGAGAGATGCGTCTTGGGATTATTTCTTTTTCCTTATTATATTATTATTTAAAAAATTTTAAAGGGTTGAAAGGAAATTGATGTGTTTTAAAAGGATCTTAAACATACTGTCATAGATAACAAATGTGTTTCAGACAGAATGCTCTTGAACTAAATATGCAAAATAGTCTTGGAAGTTTATTCTGTTTCTGTACAACTGTAAGGTATTACTTGGTGCTGTGTTTGCTAGGAATTTTGTTTTGGAAGTATTCATGTGAGGATGATAACGGTATCTCTTCATTTGACTTGTAAATGATGGTGATAACCTTAGCCACAAGTCATTTGCTAGAAGCTAAAGAGGAGAGAGAAATTTTTAGGAATTTCATACGGAGTTGCCTGTGTGTTGGTGATGTTGGTGGTCAGATGATAGATCTTGGAGCACAGGGAGAGAAGGCCCATCTGAAGAGGTCAAATTTGGGTATCTTTTTATCTTCCCTGTTCGCTCCTCTCCTAAACTTTTTTTTTGTTGTTTTTTTTGGGAGAGGGGCGGGGGGCTTGGTACCTAACCATTTTTGAAACCTCCTCTTTCCCAGATCTGATTTGGTGACACAGTAATGCTGGATTTTTGTATGACTGATTTCTCAGGGGGCACAGGAGAGATGTTACATATTTCTTTCATCCCGGCATTAGTCACAGACTGACAGTGGAGATCTTCACAAACCTCCACAGAGTGTAGGATTCCATTGCTGATAGCAGCCAGCAATGAGCCATTTTCAGAATATGGCATAGCTTACTGACCACGAACCATTCGTCAGCTAAAAATACTTAGAAAAAAATGGAAAACAATCAATTCATGCCTGTGTTTCTAAGTTATCTCATGACTGCTTTCAGAACAAGAACTAATAAGCACAGTTATTTCTATCTACTTAAGAACAGTGTCTGTGCAACTTCGTTATTACTGTCTTGCTTTGTAAGTTCAATTTTATTTTGTAGCTGTGTTAATGGCATAGCCACATGTTCATACTCTACTGGTCCATAGAAATCAAGCAGAGGAGTCTGGTTTATCTCCTAGCTGTGATAATAATGCAGTATGCACCTTAATTTCTTTTATGCCAGAATGCTAACCAGCATTTTTAGGAGATCAGCTTATCTCGAGAATCAACTTTGAAAACTGATGTCACAGCTAAATGTGGCAGAAATTGCTGTCAGGTAAAAGAGGTGAAGGTAGTTCTGTAAGGGAAACTGGGCAAATACTGAGAGCATTCTTAGTAGCAGTACGCTGCTGTCGGCAGCATCCACCATACATATCTCATCTTTATGGAATATTGGGCAACATGCTTTAGAGGGAAAAATTATAAGAATCTTCCTTTTTTGTTCTCATGAGTCAAGAAATAGCTACGCACTCATGGATTCCAGGCTGGATCTGTAACAGCTACTAGAAATTGGACTCTGGTTCTGATAAGTCCGTAGAAAAACAGCTGAATTGCTTTTCTCCCATCCTTGGCCATACATTTGATATCTTATAGAGGCTCTGATTGATTTCAGTTGCATGACCACTGCGTGCCTTTGCACGCAATTCTTAGCATGCTTATTTTCCCTGATGACTTGCATAAGCTCATACAAGCATTACGGGTTGATCTTCAGCCTGTAATTTGCCTACAGAAGACTTAGAGCTTCTTGTAGGTGCAGACATCTGGCATTTCACCTGATTCTTCAGATTATGCCTGTGCAATAATCTATGGCAGTTAGTAAGCTCCCACCTGTCGGGAGGTGAATATGCAGAGTCGCTGCCAGTCGGTCCTCTCGGCAGGGTGACTGTACCTGTGGTCTTTTGAAGAAGCTTTTTCAGACAGCTTTGTGTCTTAGTTTCTTCAGAAAGAGGACACTCGTTGCCCTGTTTTTCATTTTCACCTGCAGCATTTCAAGGCTATGAGAAGGGTTTTCTTTAAAGCCATCTAAAAATGTTCCCAAGAAAAAGGACCAAATTTACCCCTGTGTGATCTCAGAAGAGTTGGAGGCTTGTGGCATGGGGGAAGGACAGAGTTTGTGCATTTTTAGAAGTCTGGCAAAGAAAAGTGCCGGAGAGAGCTGAGCCCTGTGGAAGTGAAGCCTGGAGTTTGAGTTGGGAGTGCTTCTGTTAGTTAAAGCATGACTTTTAGATCCTGTCAAATCATTGTTATGTCCCACCCCTGTTTCTCTTCCTCCCCCTAGCTCTGGGCTAGGTCAGAGAGAGATGTGAATGAATTGCTGCCTTCCTTCATACCACATCTTACACACTGTGAGTGGTAATAGTAAAACAAGGGTAAGAAGCCCTTTTGAAATCCTTTCTAGGTTAAGAGTAGAGGGTTATTTATTTTTAGCACATTATTCCAAATAAATATTAAAAGGGCATGAGGATTTGAACAGGCAACTAGAGACATTTATTCTAAACTTGCTGGGAGGGGAGGGGGTGTTCTCGCTTTTCAAACCCTGTTTTCTGTCCACATTTTTCTTTTTCTTTCCCAAGCACCCTGTCGCAGCACACAAACGTCCTTTTACTAGGCAGAGGGATCAAATACCTGGGTTGACTAGGATTCCAGTGCAAAGACATTCCAGCGGACTGGGGAATAGATGACGTGAAGACCCTAGGATTGCTGGGTTTTTGCGGGGGCAGAAATAGTTGCTGGAGTTGAGTACAGGATGCTTCCCTTTAATTAGGTTGCATTCCCTAAGGAAGTGCTGCGGGGGTGGCACAGCCCTAGCCCCGGGGGATGCATTTGCTCATTGCTTGTTCTCGAGAGTGGATTGCTCATATTAGTAGATGAACAGATACAACTAGGTATCAGAATTAATAGCTCTTCAATTTGGCCACTTACTCAAAGCTATAGTTCAGGTTGTTTCTAATAACAGATGTTAAACCTTTTTGCTTTCAAATGGAATGAAACTAGAGGGCAAAAATGCACAGGAGATTTGGATAACCTTGAAATGTGAGACATCTGATTGGCAAAGGAAGAATGATCTATGGGAATAACAGGAGAAGTTTAAGAGTGGAATATTTTTGGGAAGCCCCTGTAAACTAGCAAACTCCCTGTAGATTAATGACAGATGAGATGGTTTTCCTTTTAGGATGTAGACTATGGTTCTGGTGTAAATAAGCTTGCTATTTGCCCTCTATATGTATTGAATGCTTATAGATGCCAGTTTGCATTTATTAAGAGATGTATTGCATTTAAGAAAAACTTAACTGGGTACTGAATTGAGTAAAAATACTCTTCCTTCTCAGAATCCACTGACTAAACAAAGCACTTGCTCGTTTGGCTTTCAGGGCTCAAATGGAGTGGTGTACTTCAAAACGTGCCCGTTTGCTTTCTGTAGCGCTGATGGGGGGTAGGAAGGCACTGCAGATAAAAGCAGGCTCAGCAATTCAGTGCCACAGAATCAATGGTTTGGGTTGGAAGGGACCTTAAAGATCATCTAGTTCCAACCCTCCCGCTCAGTATTTGAGAGTGGCTGAATACACGTGTAATTAAAGTGTATTCACAAGCAAATGCTTGAGGGACTAAAAGCAAATGACGCCATGTTTTCTTTTTCAGGATTTAATACAGTTTAGGAAGAGTGTCTGTGTTGAAATTGTTGTGTGTGTTCTGTTTCCCACAGTTAGCAAGCACCAGCTCAGTGGAACTGATGCCAGGAGCTGATGGTGGTGGTGTGTTTGGAGGGGTAAGTAATTTGCAGCTAACAGTTTCGCGGGGGGGGAGGGGGTTGGGAGCAGGGTTGGATATTACATTTCTTTTGTAGCAGGAAAAAAAAATCAGATACACTTGAGTAGATGGGTTTATATTCCGCTCTCTGTTGCTGCAGCTGTCCTGTCCTTAACTTGTTGGCGAAGTTACAGCCACAGCTACGCGGAGTTGGCACCATCAGTGAATTAACTCCTCCTGTTGCAGGTCCCTGCTGCCTGTGTGTGTGAATCTCGTTATGGGGACTCTGTCTGGAGGGAAGTTGGTTGTTATATTTGTAGTGTTGGCTGGGGGTTTGTGGTTTTTTTGTTTTAAATTCTGATAGCGAGCTACACTGAATGTCTGGGGGGGAGAAGGGCTAAGAGAGACAAGGAAACCTGGCTGCTTCATACTGTCATACTGTGTAACTCAGGATTTCATTTCTGGAACCCAAGGTTGATTAGCACTTCTTTCACAGTGTGCTTCTCATGTTTCTGCCAATAGACAGGAGGAGACAGTAGTACTTTCGTACAGCTCTGGCCTGTAAGTGATCGGTTACTGCAAAACAAAAATAGACTTTTAAAGGTATTTTTCATTTGGCTCTGTACAAAGTCTGTGACTGCTGCTGAGTCAAACCAGAGGCTTTGAGTCCTAAATGATATATTTTAGCATTGTTGTCTGTCCCTTCTAAAATGTCTTCTGAGAATAACAGATTTTCAGGAAATGTCTTAGGTTCAGCTGCGTTTACTGAAAAAGCCCCAAAAAGAAGAAACAGCAACAACCCAAAAGAACCCCTATCCACTGACATACTATAGAATATTTTGTATTCTTTTTAATAGCAAAGGAGCCACTTAGTAGGTTCTTCCTGCATACAAACGTACACAAACAAGGGATTATTCAAATAAGTGTTTGTAATTAGTGTACTCCTTGCTATTTATTTCTTTGTTCACACTTAATATTTTCCCTAAGCAATATTTTATTTATTTGCAGCCAGTTTTGCGATTAGTGCCCCTATACTAGGTTTACAGATGCTGTGGTGAGCTAGCTGTTGGTCTGAAGTTTCTTAGGGAAATGTAAATTTTAGTTGTAATCAAATAAAAAATATTTAGATCACTTTAGTTGATTATAAGTACTTGTGTCAGTGATTTGCATAGTATATCTCGACACATTAAGTAATTTTCCTTAAATTGTGTATTTAAAGAAAAAATTAATTCCTAAGATAGAAATAAAAATGGAGTTGATCAAAAATGCAAAGCTAAAAATATCCAAAATTGTGTAGTATTGATTCTGGGATCTCATTCTGCTGTATTGCAGCAAATAGATGACATCAGTGCCAGCAAGGAGTTCAGATGTTAGTTGCAGCTTTGTTTTAATGAAGACATCCTTTTAGAAACATCTCAGTAAGTGCATGAGCAAGAACACTGCGTGCTTCCACACGCAAACCACTTGGTGGTAGTGGTGGTCAGCCAACTAGTATCTCCTTAACGTGAGTCTGCCGAGTCTTCTGAAGAGCAGGCTCAGGTTTTTTTTGGTATTGCAGTCTGCAAAACCAGACAGTGAAAACCTACTGCAGGAAGTATAATCCACTTGCTGTACAGCATTGTGGTAATTGTTTGCTACACTGCACTGCTTGCACAGTTCTTACAGTTTATGCTCAGCATTCTGCATGCATGAGGAAAGTGCAAGCCCATGGAAGATTGTCTGGCATGTAGTCTTGCATGTATGACACTGGCATGTAGAGACACAAACTAAGCAATTTTACTGCATTACAAGGTACAAAATATACTATATAAATTAATTCCTCACATATATTCAGCGTTTCCAGAAGCACCTGCTGATGTTCTGCCACATTGCAAGGGTCTCCAAATACACTATTTGTAATTAGAAAATACGCAGCTGTATAAGCATAATGAGAAGAAAAAGATTGGAAACCACTTGCTCACGCTGCTCGTGCATCTGCCCATAGAAGAGTCTCATCAGACTGTGTATTTATTGCGTGTACAGCACTGAGACTTAATTTCTACCTACTGGCCCAAGACAGAATGAAATATATAGCAAGTAATAAATAACAAAACAACAGTTTCCTGAGCCCGTTGGTTTTCTTGCTCTTCCCACCAGCTCTTTGGTGGTTTTTCCCTGCTTTTCAGAAGCAAATGGAGGCATCAGTGGTTCACTAATGATGTGATGTCTGTTTCCTAAGCCAGCCAGCGACAGGCCTTCACCTTGCAGTCACTTAGCTCTAGACATGAGCTATACCTCTTGCTGGGGTATATGTTCTTTTTCCACCAGAATTTTGAAGTTGGAGGAAACCATCAAGATGTAGAGAGCTAAATGCAGCTGTAGAGTAAAAGCAAATTAGTGGTCAAGACAGCCCAGTCTGAAAGAAGTTATTGTAGATCCTGGCTCCGAACTGGTTTTATGCAAGGGTTTTTTCCTGTCAGACTCACCAGCTTCAAAGCAGAGCTGGGTACACCAGAAAGATGAGAAATATGACAATTATTCAAGTGCATTAATATCAAGATACTCCAGTTGAAGCTAGAGCAGCTTTGTGTTAGTTTCCCTCTTAACATACACCAACAGCTTGTGCAATAAAGTTGCAAAGCGATACTTAGACTTATCTTTGATGAATAAGGTCCTTGTTTTCTACAAAAACCTCTGTTCAGATGGCATAGTTAAGAGTATGTAGCAAGGTCAACTTCCTGAGGCATCACGGGGTGGGATGAGGGGACTGCCTGTGCAGCAAAGTTTCATAGTTTTCACAGGGACGGAAAGCAAAGGGCTTCTTAATTCTTTCCCAGTTGTCAGCAGTTAAATAACATAATATTGAGTAAGTCTCTCTTCTATAATTGCTCATTGGAATTTGCCAAGTTGTAAAGAAAATACATTTTCATTTTTATTATCTTTTCTACAGTTGCAATAGCAATGTTTCAAACTCTTGTGTTCTCTCTGTATTCTCATAATGTTAAGAAATATAATGAATTCAGTGGTATTCATCAAAAACGTAAATACCTCTTTTTACAGGGCTTTTTGTGATTAGTGAAGTTGGTATTAAGTGCCTTTTGTATGCTACAGCGCAAGTTAAAATATAATAGTCTAAAATAAAAGCCCATGCCTAACTGTCATAACAAATCTTGCCTAATGTAATACCCTTTCTGCTTCTTTTCTCTGTCAAATATGCGGGTCATGTATTTCTGAAAGTGTGCACTGCCCAGATTGTTTCAGATTGAGGAGGAATTCAAATAAAAGATCCGTTATAGGAAGTATTCAACTTGAATCTTACCTGGGTTACAGAAACATGCCTATGGGTGATGATGGATATTCTTAGTGAAGTACAAATCAAATTAACCAATTCCACGTGAAGCAGTGGAATTCATGTTAGAGGAATTTCAGCATTTTTCCCATGCAGGCACATGGAGGTATTGTTTGAAAGGCAAAAATTGGTTTTGTTTAGCATTCATCAAGATCATCTTCCAGTCACAGCTCACAAGGCTAACTGGTGCCTTCATTTGTGCTTTTGCCGTTCCAGCAACACTAGTGAAATTGTTAACATAAGAATCAAAAGGCTTGTTATGCTATATGCAAATTTTAACTATTAAGAAGAGAAAGAATAAGATTGACCAGTGAGGAAATGCGGTTATCTAACAACTTAAGGGGAATCCATCCCTAGCCAGTGGAAGAAATATCAGTCTTCTGAAAAATTAAATAGCATTAGCATCAAAATCAGAGTAAGAAATGGCTGACTTTAGCCAATGTATGTGATACAAATTAAAAAGTTACTCTGTAGATTGCTGCTGATCAGTAAAATCTTTTCAAATCACCTTGTTTATACGCCTTGCTTGGAGGGGTCTAAGAGAATCTGAAAGGAACATTCTTGCCAGTGACTCATCCGAGGCATTGTTTGGTTGTTGCAATTCAGTGTTGTAGTGGTTACATCTGGTTCTTCCCAAAAAAAGTGAAATACTAAGCTCCACTTACGTGAGGGGGAGGACTTGGATTTGCCGCCACTCTGTTTTGCGGAGTGTACATATGTGATTTTCCTGAACGAACAAATCCCTGTGACTGCGCTTCACAAAGCTGAATTGCAAAACATCCTACGTACTTGTATACGTGTTTGAAACATTGCTATTGCAGCTCTAGAAAAGATAATAAAAATGTAACCATCCAATCCAATTAGAAGTAATTAGTTGTGGGTTTGTTGTGTAACGCTGTTACAAGCCAGGGTGGTTTCAGTAGCTCTGCTGAAAGACAGTGTGCTTTACTCTGTAATCAGGGAATGGCAGGGCAGAGACTTAAGGAGCCTGAAAGGTGGAAGATTGGTAAATATATATATATATATTTTTTTTTTTTTTAAATTGACCTTAAAAACTGTACCAGTGACTTCTGCAGGCTAGTTGCAACCACTAAGGTGAGACCTTAGGGCAAAAGGCATCATTTCCCTGGCACTGATGACACCTGCCTGGTGATCTGTGGGCAGCCTCTCCTAATCGTAGTTGCTGCTGCCATTCCTCCCCAAACATGCCCCCATGCTTGTGGTAAATAAAGGCTTTGGAGGAGGGGAAATTTGTTGACCCAATTGTTCTCTCTCAAGTGGACTTAAGCTGTGACTTAGTAAGCAGGTGTGGTTTAAAGGGAAAGGGAGTTGTCATGGAGTCCAGAATCTGCGTAGCCTGGTTGTTTATCAAAAAGAATGCAAAATACCTCTGCTCTTTTGATGTAGAGGAAATGTTTCTTCTCCCATTAAATGAAATGATTGCATAGTTTAAATGATTGTGTCAAGCAAGCGTAAATGAAGAGAGTTCTTAAACCTCTTCTCATGGAAGAGCTGTGCCAAAGGAATGTGATACAGAGACCTCCATTGGTCTGGGATCTCCATGCAGATGGTGCCTGAGTGGGGAAGCCCCAGGGAGCTCCTGTTCCCTTGTACGCAGCCATCATGACTGTGAAGAAAGAACAGTATTTATTTATTTAAAAGAGAAAACAAAACAGAGGGTCTACTCGAAGTTCCATGGGAAGCTGTATTTTCATGAACTGCACATTGCCACGTTAGTGCTCTTCAGTTTATTAGACAGGTGTACAATTGGGTTTAAGTATACCGAGTGACTTTGTGTACCAGCTTAGGTGCTTAGCGTAAGAGGCTAAACTTGCTTGGCTATCCAGACAGCTGAGAGTGTCTTCTGCCAAGAGCAGTTGATAACACGTCCCTGGTGTAGGTGTCCCTGGCCTCCTGAGGAGCTTTATGTTTCATCATGAGCTGGGAGGGAGACGAAGGAAACTTCTAGATTAAGCATTTGAAGTTGGGTGGTGCAAAAATTCACTGCCAGCACTGTTCTCTGCTTCAGTCAAGCCATTTTTCCCAAAAGCTTCACATCTTGTCCCCCCGAACGGGAGAGTTTACAATGCATTCACAACGCCAGCACCATTGCCTCAGCCAAGTCACGTGTCAGCAGGGAGGAGGAGGCGCGTGCTGAAAGGAAGGCTCTTCTTGACAAGCCTATGCTGCTGTTCCTCTTCCTCCCTCGCAACAGACTCTGAGGTGAGGTTGCTCAGTGGCTCTGAGTGTGCAGGTGGGTAGAGAGGAGCTTGAAGAACTGACTCTAGCAATCTGAGATCACGTCATGCCGCACCAGGACCCCTCAGTGGCTGAGCCGGCCATCCAGCTGTAGGCCATTGCCAGGGTTGACGTGAATTCTTTTCTGAAATGGTGTGAAACCCAAAGAGGGTTTGTCAGTGGGAGAACAGAATTGGTTTGTGATCCCCCCTTTTCTTTTTTTTTTTTAATCACATAATAAAACTTTTTGTTTCAGGGTGATTCCTGTAGGAAATCTTCCAAATCCAAGCGAGACAAGGAGAAACAGGCATGCAAGAGCTGCAGCGAAAGCTTTAACTCCATCACTAAAAGGCGACACCACTGCAAGCAGTGTGGGGCAGTAAGTGTCAGAATGCACTGAGTATTTTTAGTTTGTTCTGCAGAGACTGTTGAAGATGATTTTTTATTTTGTCACTGCAGGATCTAAAAGATGTTCTGGTTAATGGCAGGTCATTGACAGAGCAGATCTTTCCACTTGCTTTACCCTCTGGTATCAGGGTTAAAAAGAGCAAAACTCTGGTGTAAGGGGCCTAGTCTGTGCTGCTTTAAAGGCAAACATAGCACCTCAGTGGATAAGAAGAAAAATGGGACCTTCCTTGGGGTTGTGCATCTATCTGGGGAGGGGTTTGTCTAGTATGTGTTGTTTGCAGAAACAGAATGGCCTTCTGACAGCCCTACTTTACACTCACTCTAGGATGAACAGCTGAACATAAAATATTAAAGATGGATTGGTTCTTTTTTCCCTAAAGCAGAGTTGTCAGGAATTGCTTCTGCCAAAGCAGTTTCCTCCTGCTTGAAAAGTAAAAAAAAAAAAAAAAAATCAGTCCTAGTGATTCAAGGCCAGGTTACTGAAGGCACTTAGCTACCCTTCCCCAGTGCCGTTCACTGACCGCTTAGTTCTCGGGGCTTAGTTTTTTTTCTGAAAATCACAACCAAGATGAGATTAAATTCTGTTATTTGACTTAAAACCTGCCTTCTGTGACTTGAGTTTCATAGTTCAGTGTTCCTAATGTAACTGGAACAGAATAATGTTATTTAAATACCATTATGCATTTGAAGTGGAAATAGATTGTCAGCTGAAGATAGATATAAATGTATAGTTAAGATGTTTAAAGAAACCTTAGTCTCAGCAATTGAAATAAAATTACGGTGGAGGAGACACTTCTGCATCAGAGCTGGGTTTGTCAACATTCTGGATTTGTTTATATTAATGACTACTAAAATAATGGAATAAATTTCTGGAGTTTTATAATGTTCCATTGCAAAGCCCAGTATTATTAAAGAAATCAAATAATACCTTTTTTCCATGAAAGAGACCTAACAAGAATTAATTATTAGTAATTAATTGTTAAACAGTCAGTTATGCAATGTTCTCTGATGTGGCAAAACCATTCAAATTAAAGAAGTTAATTCATCTCAAGGAAAGATTACTGTATTTCTAAAACTGCTAGCTTGCTTTTGTTTATGTAACTTGGCAGATTGGTGCTTCACTTAACACTTGCTGAATTAAGGCAGTTACCTTCGTATAGTAATTAATGTTTCGCAGTGAAGCATCTAGTGACATATGCTTGTAGCTGAAGGCCATTTGGGATGTATTATTGTACAGGAGTTTCAGAATGGATGTTGAATCCCGCTAGTAGATTGGTCGCTCTATCTTATGCTTACATTAGTTTTACGGATTTTGCTTTAATAACAGCCATTCTGCAAGTCACTTTCTTTGGAGCAGGGTTATGTTTTAATGATGGCTAATAAAGCACCATCTTTTTGATACAGGTGATTTGTGCAAAATGCTCAGAGTTTAAACCACTTGCAGATAACAGCCGTCATAATCGAGTGTGTAAAGAGTGTTTTCTGCAGTTACCAGCAAGCCCGTGCAGCCCTGTAGCAGAAGCAGTCGGGGAACAGAAGAAACGACTAGCTGCAGAGGTACAGTATTTAGCTGAGGCATTTTTTTGGTGTGCTAGCTGCCCTTGTGTGTGTCTCTCTCTCTTTTTTGTTTGTTTGTTTGTTTATTTCTTGTCTTTTAATGTATTTATTTAAAACAAATAGAATTGTTTTGTTATCTTTTTTAACCCCACCATGATACTTGATCTCTGGCCTATGACTTGCATTGAATGTGCACGCAGCCTGAATGCCGTTTGTAAACGGTGAGCGTTCATTGTGGGACGTTGGTTGTATTGGGTACACGCAGGCTTTGCAGCTAAGCTTCAGCTAGAAAGCTTCTAGCTTTTTTAGCTAGAAAATAGAAGAACCTCTAGTGGCTTTTTATCGCGATGCATTTCCAATCCTGACTTATGCATAATAACTATTGCCAAAACTTGGCAAAATAAGATTTGGGTTTTCACTTCTAACTCTATATGGAAGATGCTTTTGCACTCCTTATTTCACAGCCTGTCAAAGTATCATTGAAAGGAATTTTTTCATGGCTGTGCAAAGGCATAACATCCTCTGAAAGACTATCAGGGTTCACTGAAACTTCCTCAAACCTGCTATAATGCAGACTTTTCTCCAGGATGTGACTTTCACAAATCAGACTGTAAACTACCACTTCACAGTTGCCACAGATGTCACCAAGATTTATACCATGATAGCGGCACATCCTACCCTGATTTTTTTTTCAAGAACAAGAAACTGATTTGCTTTATCCTCACCTACAACAACTGAACCTTCTCTTACCAATGCTTTTTTTAGGCTACTGCCAGAGCTGTGAGTACCATTATGTGCCACACTTTTCATGGGCCAACTTGAAGAAAAGGGTTTTATTTACTTGACCTGTGAAATACAGCCAGAAGTCACTGCATGTTTAAAAAAAGGACATTCAATTTCATCTGAATTGAAAGTGGACCTGTAGGAAGGCATCTTCTGAGAGTACATCAGACTCTTGAAAAGAGCCACTGAAACATTGACAGCTTCATCACAAATCATCCTTTTCCCCTGATACGCTCACATACACTATCCTGCTTTGAGCACCACATGAAAAATTGGGAAACAGTTACAGCCTTTTCTGAAAAACATCTTACCTTGTGAAAAACATCTTTCTGGAAGCCACCCTCTGAGCATTCAGGCTGCCTTCCAGCCTTGTTATACTCCTCATCAGAACCAAACTATATGGGGAAAAAAGCTAGACTGAGCAAGAAATGTAAACCTGCCAGTGCATATCCAGAGCTCCTGTAATAAATGCCTTCTCAAATAGTCTTCTGAGGCCCTGCTCTGCTTCCCAGCATGTCATTGTTCTTTCCAGCTACAAAATGTACCTACTTAGGTAAAATTACACCAGCATGGTGTGCCAGAGTGAACTCTGCTGCTCAGGTGCTCTGTCAGCTTTGTACCCAGACACGTCCAGAATTTCAGAAATACAAAGCGGGGTACAGCTGTAAATGCACATTGCTTTCCCCTGGTCTGCCACATCTGCAGAGGGCAGAGAAGATTCTGGCTCTGGAGCTTGATAGCATCAAAAACTTCAGATGTACCCTACAGCTATGCCTATAGTTGATGAACACTTAATATGCAACAGTATAGACTGCGGTATCTCATGATAAACTTTCTGGCACTGTTTCAGCAGAGCTGTTTGACAGTAAAGTGAAAACTACACCTACCCAGCTGACAGCTCTGTTAATCTGAAAAACCAAAAAGCAAACCAGTGAAGTGTGACCTATAGCTTTACTTCAGAAAGCGGATTACAGCAGAAAGCTATAAAAACCCAAGGAAAAGTGTCGTTTTTCCCTCATATGCTCAGGCTTCTAGCCTTGTGGTAAATCTTCAAAAGATCAGGTAAAATGCAAGAAAGTAGTTGTATAAAAAAAAAAAAAGAGCAGAGACAGTCTTTTTCTTTCCCTCGTATTTATCTTAAACCATTTTAACGATCTTAATAGCAGCTGGGGAGATTGCCTCTTTACAAGTGTTATTAGCAGATGCCAGAAATCCACAGGAGACTTCTGCGTGAAGTCTAATGGGAACAGGAATTTTGTTTTCCTTTGCTTTCTATCAAAAGGCAAAAACTCGTTTTCTTTTTTTGCCCTAGTGCTCTCTGATTTGTCTCACATCTCTCTGCATCCATGCACAAAGGGGTCTGTTAATACACCTTTTTCATTAATTTGAATTCATCTCCCAGCCTACTTTGCTAAGCAAGAAACTAGCTGCATCATCATAATGCCATTCTCAATTTCCTTGGTGGAGGTGGAATTTAACTTCACAACTGCTGGGAACAGTAGTTCAGCATCTGTTGCTAATACATGGGATTGTGCTGTTTCTTGATGGTGTATAATGATGATGAAACCTTTGTTCAGTTATGGGCTATCCAGAGTTTGCCCACAGTATTATTTGACTGTGGACAACTTAACTATATTTTATACTTACATCTAAGTGTTTTGCCCACATAAGCATCAATGGAAACAGCTTTTTTTATTCTTTTCTTTCTCCTTTCTTCCAGAAGCAAAGCATCTTAGCAGCTGAAAACAGCCTCTTCAGTGGCTACCTCCAATTCCTTGAAAAAGGGAAGACTTGGTACAAAATGTGGGTGACCATCCCCAAGACTGAACCTCTTGTTCTGTATCTGCAGGGAAGTAGCCAGGTAAAATGGTAAAATGATGTTCATGAGGGTTAACACACAGCCAAAAAAAAAAAAAAAAAGAAGAAGCATAAGTTTCAATATGTCAAGCTGAGAAATAGGTTAAAGGATTTGGCTTGATTTCAACAGCAAAAATGAACTTGGTTTTCTGAGTATAGCAAAAAGCCTCGGAGATTTCAGATTTCCTTTTGATCTGTAGTTACTGCTGCAATGGTTGTGAGCCAACGTTTAAGCTCATAATTTTTCTTTTCCATTTTCTAACAAAAAAGAACAGAACACTGATAATTTGGTTATGTTTGGGGTTTTTTAGAAGTTTCAGACAGGTATATTCAAAGGTTTTATGAGCCTGTCATTAGGGAAAGCACCTTCCTGTAAAATGTATAGCGCAGTGAAGCAGTCTGAATGTTACAGTTTCTGGTTCAAGCCATTCTTTTTTTTTTTTTTTCTTAAACCTAGTTCTGGGTTGAGAGGGTGGAGGAATTTGTGGAAATGTAGATGTTCTTCAGCCTGAAAAATGGACTCTGATTGGTAAAGCTGCTTGTTGTAGCATCATGTGATTTTTATCCTTGAAATAATTACTGTGGTAAGCTTTTTTTCTTTTTAAGTCTGCTGTTGAAGCTAACTAGTATTTGTGTGTGATGAAAGTCAAGCAATAGAAATATCTGTATCCAAGATAAAATACCCAAAGTAGAAATAGCAGTCATGCTTCTCTAGTGCTGAAGAATGACAGTTTTGAAATGAGATTCTTTCATATCCAGTTTTGTATTTGGTGTTTGAAACGTTCATATACATCTTAGTTTTATCTCCTGAATGGGAGGGCAGAAGAAATGGGTCCGAATTCAGCCTAGCATTACCCTGCTGTAGTAATATGAAATGTTTGCTTTTTATTACATCAGTCTGTATGGTTGTAGCTACGAACAGTCTGGGAACTAGACATTACCCAGGATTTTATAGAGCTCTTCAAAGTAAAGTTTACCCCATAGCGCAAGAAGTACATGTTGTCCTTAGGAGTGTGTTCATTTTGCTGCTTGTCAGCAAGAACACCTCTGGTTTTAAACAAGTGTGAGTTTTAAGCATAGTGCTTGAGAGTGAAAGCTTGAATTTGGAGCTTCAGACACCACTTGGCTATGTCTGGAATTCAAACCCCACACTGGGTAAGCTCCCAACTCTTCCCACAGGCAGTGAGCCCTGGCTTCCCTCTTAGTCAACAGGGGATGCGTGGCTGAAATTACAGGTTGAAAAAGCAAACTGCCTTGACAAAGCACTAAAACAAATGCGACAAACCCAGTCGTTAGATCTCTCTGGAGTCAGGGTCTGGGGAAGGGAAAAAAAGCTTTAAAAAGCAAAGCAGAGAGAATGGCTTCACTGCAGAACTTTTCAACTGATTTTTTGAAAATTGTTCCTCAGCAAAGGACCAGTGCAAGCCCATGCAAACCAAGCCATAGTGTGTCATGCAGGCAAGCCTGGGGAAGGAGAGTGAGAACAGAGGGAGAGAGGTCTAAATTCTTTGGCTTTCCTCACCCAGGAGCGATGTAAGTCATCCTAAGAGATAACTGGAACAAGGAGTTGAGAGGAAACAAACGCCTCTTACATGATATGACCCAGGAAGATAATTTCTCCTAGAGCCTGACGGATTTTGTCAGTACAGCACAAGTAATAACCCATGGTACATGAATCAGCTGGATTTAGTGCATGGCAGAGCAATACTCAATTCTCCAGGCGCCCTCCTGACAGTTGTACAAAGCCAGGGTTGGAAGGTGGAGCTCCTCCTTCAGATGATAGGTTCTTTGCTCCTTGTCCTGCCAAATTTGATCTTGAGCTTCTGTTGTTATTATTAGCAAGATCCTGTTTTTGAAGAGAAGAGGATGTCTTTGACATTGATTGTCGATTTTATGACAGTTCAGTTCAGTGGTTAGTGTCCTCAGATATTTCAGGTGTGTGATAAATCTCTCAATAAAGTGGCAAGAAAGCATACAGGACAAGGCTGATCTGTCTTACATTGAATAATCAAGCCAGGATTTACTCTCAGGAATCACCAGTTGCAGGCTGAGACTGTAGAAAACAAAAATGAGTCCCTTCTTCAAGGGCTTATCATTCCCACTCATATACTTTCTTCTGTTTGCATCCAATGGAGGGAAAAAATTACAAAGCAAATCCCATTCCTTGCTTTTAACCTGATGTTCTTGTTAGTTCTGGTTTATGCAGTTTTGACTAGAGGTCTAAAAAATATCTCTTCCAGAGCTTTTTTCCTGGTAGCTGGGTGTCTGGAATCAGTTGGGGACCACTTACGTGCTTGAATGTTATTTTCCCAGGTGTTTTGTTTTTGTACAAACACCTTGATGCATCTCACAAACCTTTTTAGACCTGCAAAGAAGCATTTCAGTCCCTAAAAAAAGAGCTGCCTTTTCGGGAATGCCTTTTTGGAATAATGGTAATAAATAATACCATTTGCCAACAATGGTATTAAAGGTCTTGAAACACAGACCAACTGAAGCGTGACCATAGGAGTTTGAAAGTTGGGGTTTTTTTTTAAAAAAGAACAGAAAGACTAGCTGCCTCTTGGGAAGAAGGAGTAAACCAAGCTGAATCTGGAGCTTCTGATACAGTAAAAGCCCTGACAGCTTTCGTCCCCTGCATCCCCAGCCCTCACACCAGTGAAGGGATAGATGTCAGTGCAAATGGAAATACAACTCACAGGCTTTAAAATAGTAAGAAAACTGCTCTTTTGCTTTAGATCCTTCTTCCAGGAGAATGAATTAATCCCGAGTGTTCATGGTTTACATCTTGCATGAGGCTTTATACGTGAGGATAAAATTCACAGCTTATTTAGGTATGTAAATCATACCAATTTTATCTGTCCTTAAACTGAGACAGAATCTGTGCAGCTGTTTGTCATGTTTGTCTGAGTGGAATTGTAAGAGTTTGCTTGTAAGCAAAGACCACCTCAAGCTTAGGGATCAGCAGTTTTATAGAAATTTGTAGGTTTTTAAAGGGCTCTACCTGGAGCTTCTGCCCCCTGTAACGTGCACAACTACTCAGAGCTCAGACATTAACTTACACCTGACAGAGATGTGGAGATTTAAGGAGTCCCAGCTAGCTAGAGAAGTAATGAATTTTGGAGAAATACGGAGAGTAAATACCTCCATAATAGTGAGAGGTACTGTCCATAATAATTATAGAGTTTGATCCCAGGGGCAATTTTGCATTATAAATTCTGAAGAAAAATCTTTTATTCATCATGTAAATGTCATTTACTCCTAGAAATGTCATTTACTCCTAGAAAAGAAGGGAGTGGCTGAGTTTGAAGTTAAGCTCAGGGTTTTAGAGAAATATTTCTGTGGCTTGTCTGTTGATCCTTTTGAGGTGAAGCTTTAACTGGCTCTTCATGAAACTTTGCCTGTTGTTTTTTATGGTCCTGGAGAGCTTTGCAACTTGGCACGCCATTGTGTCACACAAGTCTCTCAACGATTTGTGCAAGCTTGGGATTAGATGATAAGTGGGTAGAGAGTGGAGTTTAGGTGGAAAACCAGGATTTTCTAAGCCTACTGAAAAGTAGTAGGAGAAGATGATAGTGGTCCACCAGTGGATGACACTTGCTCTGTGTATTTGTCTGAGAGAGGTTATATGCTGCAAAGAGATGTGCAGTGCAAGAGGGATGTCTGTATGGAGGTGTATGGAATAGAACGGCCTGTATGGTGGAATTGAGCTATCCATTCCCAAATCTTAAAGCCTGGGTGTTGTAGTGGCTGTAATAAAGCAGTAAATAAATCGTGCTGTAATTACCTAGATAAAACACACATTAGTATTATGCTGCGTGGATTGGAGTCAGGATGAGTGCACAGTGCTTGTGATTACTGACAGTATTACACATCCAGTAGATTTTTGTGTCTCCTTCACTACCTCAGGAAAATGAGTGAAATCAACCCTAAAGTGAAGTTCTCAGCACTGGGTAGTTTGGTTTGATGAACTACTGATACCATGCAACCCTAGTATGTTGCCTACAGAAATACTAAAAAACTAACAAACCGAACCCAAAACCAATTCAACCAGCCAAAGTCAGTAGGCTCTTAAAAATGGAATATGACACTTACCTCTCTGTAAGGCCTGTAAATCCTACTTACTTGCTTGGTATAGGTTGTGAATTCCTCATTGATGCGGAACAGCTCTGGATTTGTTGGACTCCATGTAGGCAGGGAAGGGCTCTGTGGCAGAGGACATATGGTGTTGCTCATGGTCCCACAGGGAGATTTGGTTTGGGTGTGTGGTGTGACTCGAGGCTGAGTGCTTCACCTTTTATCTGTCAGTAGTTCAGCTTTTCAGAGATAATTTAAATCCCTTCCTTTTGGATCAGGCAGGTACAGAGAAAGTGGCAAAGGCATCATATTAAGAAAAGGGAGGAAGCAGTCAGCTTAATTTGCCTGTGTCTGCACACGTTGGGTAGGTGTAACATGTACAATTCAAACATCAATTTCCCTTTACACTGCACTTCTTGGCTACAGATGATACCATTTTTCATTGTCATGAGCAACCTCCGATTTTACATGTGACAAGTCTTAGTGTCTATTTTTCTGAAGCAGGATCAGTGAAGCAGGCATGGTCGTGCTTGCATGTGCTCTTGTGCATTTCGTGTTCATCAGTCCCGCATTTGCTTGCTTTAGCACTGCCACGTATCCAGGTCTAGAGCTGCTCCGTACGTGCCAGTTCAAACTGCATCTCCGAGACCTCCCTGTCAGGCAGATGCAGCTGTGGTGGTAGGATCTAGAAATTGTGTGCTGCTTTTAACACAGCAGCTTGCACTCAGACAGTAACTGAATTCTTTAGTGTTTGACCCAAAGTTGATGTAAATCTCCTGGAACAGTGCTTGGTCTTCAAGCAGATGGAGACTGGCATTTTTGCATAACACTAACAAGTAGTAGATTAATAAATGGGGAAAACTGTATTGATTAAATGAAATGTGTAGACACAGTTTTGATTGTGTATTTTTTGCCCCTTTCGTTAGTGTATGTGTTTGCATCGATGTGAGCAGTTCTGAAACTTGAATTACTTTAATCTAAGTGTTAGAAAAGCAGATTTTTTTTTTTCCTACCATCATTTTCAGAACCGTGGTCCCATTCCAGATTTACTAAGTCATCTGCATTCAGTATGGGGTGACAAAAGAATGACTTTGCCACCTCTTTGCGGTTCGCCTTGTTAATTTTGGTATGAGGCATTGAACTTGAGTAGGCTGCTACATAAGTAGCTGCCACAAGAGATGATGGCTTCTTACAGGTACTTGATGCCTGTGTGGTTTAGACTTCAGTCTGGGGACCGACCTTTGAAAATGTTTCAACCAATGCCAGTAAAACGAGTTCCGTGGTCATGGTACACCCTGCCTTGCCGAAGTGCACCTTTCCTGAGAGCTTAGTAGAGGAGATGGTTGATGCTCAAGACGTGAATGCTAGGGAGCTGTACCTCTGTGAGTTAATCTGGCCTTTAAAGGATGTTCGAGAATCTGAGCTTCAACTTCCTTGAGAACTCTGAAAGGCATCATAAATAACCCAAAACCTCCTGAGAAGATTCGGTAATTGATTTGAAATCTGAAATTATCTTTTATTTCAAAGTCCTTGCCCTGGTAGGTGTCTTTGTGTCTCTCAGCGTCCAGCTCTGCTTATTTGCCTCCTTTAAACCAATCTTACAAATGTCCCATGGGCTTCTAAGGGGACCGCACTGAACTATTCTCAGCTGGATCTGGTTGCCTGTACCTGATGCAAAGGGTTTTTTTGTAAAAGACAAAATGCATAAGTTATGTGAAATTACATGAAAATCCCCAGATACACCACTGTTGGATCCATATTCTTTCTGGGAAAGGGAATCTATTAAACAAGAAGAATAAAGCCCCAGTAAGTTGCTGCCTTTTATTGTTGTAAGTTAAGCAGTCGATATCGCCCCTTTTCTGTTCCCTAAGCCACGGCGCTGAACAAGGAGCTGAACGCACATGTGCGCTGGAACTGCATTCGTGTGCTTGTTGGTGTGTGCGCATGCGTGTTGGCTCGGTGGCAGGGGTGGCAGCTACGCCTCTAGCACGGAGGGGTTGTCAGCAGGCAGCACACACCAGGGCACTCTGGTTTGGTGAGAGTTGTGGTGTAGCTGCCTAGCCTGAGTGTGCCTGGTGACCGTGTCTCGGGGGTACATTAATGCATCTCCAATTACATCCTCCTACCTCAAAGCGAGTTTTCGACCATTCGAATAGTTCTTCACTCCTGTCGAGAGGATGTCTTTCCTGACCATGTAGCATACCCCCCTTGCTGCCCTTTCAAATACTGCTTATTGCTGCGTTTTTACATTCATTTGTTGTTCTTTAGGATGGACGGAGCCCACGTCCTATTCCTCTGCCTGGATACGAAGTCAGTTTACCAGGTTCTGGTGAGAAGTTTGAAGTGAAGCACGTTTTTAAGCTTTGCCAGTCCCAGCAAACTCTGTATTTCAGTGCGGAAGATGAAGAACTGCAGATGAAATGGATGGAAATTCTCACCAAAGCCGCCAAAGGGGAAACTGAAGATACAGCTGAAGGGCTTGGCAACCCGTAGAGCAAGTTGCGTTTAGTTTTTTCCTCCATGCTATAAACCATCACTTGAATTTAGTATTCATGGCACTTTGGAATCTGTATGGCTTTATATTTTCATGTGTCTGCATAGGAAATTCAGTGTTTTCTCTCCTTTTATTGTACATTTCTCACGTACAGTAGTTACCTGGCATATATTATATTAAAGGAAAAGGTAGCTGTAGTTGTTGGTCGTGTTGATGCTGGTATTAAAACAAAAGACAAGGAGAAAAGCATTAATTTTAACAAAGGTAATGGAAAACCATCAGTCTCTTGTTTTCCTCAATGTATATTTTCCAGTCCTTTGGATTGCTGTTCAGTGCAGGATGTGTATAGTCTGTGATTAGTTCTATAAATGCTGCCTTTTAAGTTAAATGTTGTAAAGGCTTGTGCTGACCACTGACATTCCGTTCTCTGTCCTCTCCCTCCTGATAAAAGGTCGTTGTGAAGTGAGCGCGATGTACTGAATATTTTCCCTTTGCTAAAACTATGTCTCTGCTATTTTGAGATGACCTGTTCTCAAGACAAATACTGTAGAAGGGACTTCTAAAAATGACTGCAAACCACGCAGAAAAGAACATTAAGAAGCCTCATTGATTTTAAGCATTTATAATATTGTTTTGTTTTCTTTTGAAACCAATGCCTACCTTCCTTCTATTTGAACCCATTTTGATGTAAGTGAACAAACGTTTTATACTGCAAACTGGGTGATGATCAATAAACAAGAACATTTTTAGTACACACAGTACAAAAAGGTGACTTTTTTGTTGTATTGGTTAATTTAAAAATGACCTAGGATTTATTTATACAATTTGTAAATAATGTTTCATAAATATTTTAAGAATTTTTAAAATATCTCAGCTAGTAACAGGATTTAGTGCATAGAATAAGAGATATTTGTATGAACTGTATTTGTAATTTAATTTTCCTGTTCACCTGTATTTGTCTTATTTTCAAACTTCAGTGCTTATCTATTTAAATAAAAATTCATGCAGTTAACTCCTGAGCCAGATCTCCAAGGCACAGCAAGCTCTAGGTCAACATTTAATGTAGGTTTAAAGAAAAAAAAAACAAAACAAAAACAAACAAAAAAAGGCATGTCTGTTCCTAGTGGTAGTAAGCATGTAGTACTGATAAAAATGAAATAAAATCTGTCACAGTACTGTATTTTTAAATGGTTTGGTTTAACTTTTGTTTCCTATTCAGCCTTCTACATTTTCTGGTATTAGTACAAAGAAAGGGCTGCTCCATACAGCCAGTGTTTGTCAGGATTGTTGAATTAGAGATCTGCGTCAGTGAGTATTTTTCTTACCTACAGAGAAGGACTTGTTTTACTCCTTGTTCAGGGTTGGGGGGGTGTTGTTTTTTGGTTTTAACATTGGTGTAATGAATCATAAACTTGAAGTCCGTGATGCTAAAAATCAGAAGCCATGTATTTAATTAGCTAGTGGTAAAATTTCATGAGGCTTGCATCTTCCCTCTCCTCCCTACCCTCCCTTTCCAACCAGTTAGCATGAAAACGGTTCCATGCAGAGTAAATTTTATCGTATAGTTCATGAAAAGGAATCCTTTTCAGTGTGTGTTATTTCTTCCCCAAGCTTCCCAGAAATTGTATGACAATGCTTGCCATGAAAATGTACTCATTTTTGTAACATCTCTGGCTTTGGATTGGCTTTCTTTCTGAATTTTTTCCTTTATTGCTCTATTTGCTTGGTTCTTTTTCCTTGTTATTAAGAGAGAAATTGTAAGGAAGAATGGTAGGACAAAGCAAAATTAATGCATCTTAATACATCTTTCATTTTCTATTTTTATTAACCAAGAAAATATTTAACGTGTTTTTCTGCAGTTTTTCTCCATTTTCTTCTTTTTTTATAAATATGTCAAAATAGACATATAAAAAAGTCATATTCTTCAGTTTGCCTTCTTAAAAAATTTAAAAAAAAAGGTATTTGTAGCATATCTGGAATGATAACCCATTCCCATGGGTATTTGTGTCACAGACCGCTTGCAGCAACTTTGTTCCCTGCACACCTTTGCACTTTCAGGGAATATGGCAAGGAACCTGCCGGGGGAATCTCTGCCTTATGACTAAGACCCAGATAAATCATCGGGAGCTTTTATCGTTTAAAGCCAGCACGTTAACCTTGTCTGGAAAGCTAATACAAGTCCATTTCAGATCCCAGAGCTCTGCTTTTGTTCAATATTGCATGAAAATGCTCAGCCTGGAGCCTAAAATGAAACAGCTAATGGTGTTACAGGTTGGGATCTGATTCCCTCAGTCCCAGTCAGCGATATGCCTGTTATCCAGATCAGTGGTACTTCCCCAACAGGTAGTGTTAGCTTCTTTTGAAACCCGATTTAGCTTGTTGTGAAGCTGTGGTCTCTGTTGACCACAGCTGGAGTTGCTTTGTATTGCCGTGAACGCGCTCTCACCATTTTTGAGGCGTTAGTCGGGCTTTGGATTATTCTTTCCTGTTCTTGGGACGCAGGTGTGTTGTTTACGTAAATGAGTTCAGTGAAACGAAGGTTGAGAATGTGATCCTGGGAGATGAATCTTTCAAAGCATCTGAATGCACATCTTTTAAGAATACAGGGAATAATCGCTTCAGACTTCCTTGAATTCTGGTTAATTCATGTATCCTGCCAAATCAAGGAAATAATCTGCTTTTTTTTTTTCCTTTTGTTAATTTAGGAACACAAAAGACGGCCTAGGATGATGGCAGTCTGGTTCACATGATGATGACATTGATGAGCTTATCAGCAAAGGTCCCTTGGCTTCCAAAATCTTCATTCTAAACATCAGCTGTCCCCTGGCTGGCAAACTGATGAACCTTGGGAGTGCTCTGGAGAAAGCACCAGAAAATGCTTCCTCTTCCCTGTGCACATGGGTTTGATTACTGTCAGAGCCAGGGTGCTGGTTATACGAAGCTGTAGTCATCCTCATTCTTTTTCTGTTGATGAAACTAGAATATTTTATTTAAATGACCCATTGAATGAAGATTTGCAGCTGAGAAACTCACAATATTGGTCAGTGGGTTGAGGGAGGTGGTGATGAGACTTCAGCAAAAGATTCTACCAAAACAGATGCATAACCTTACCTTAGTGGAATATCTCCACTATCTCTGTCTACAGGACAGTGCAAAGTATGTGAAAGATCGTGTGCAATGCTGGGACTAGGATAAGAAACAATTCAAATAAAATTTCCAGGCATTTGGCAATACAGAGCTAGCTTCTTTGTTTTAACTGTTATTTTTGTGCTGTCATTCCTCTCTGCAGTATTTTACAGTTTTATTAGATGTGTACTCGCTCCCACAAATAATTGCATATGCAAGAGGGAAAATTTTATGGTATTTGAGCTGTTGTATTCATATAGAGCAGACGAATCTAGTACAGACACCTCCTGACACTTTCTCTGATCATTGCATGCTTTTTCAGTTGAACTCACATAGTTTTTAAAAATAGAATGTCAGTTCAGACCAATCTTCTATACAAACACATTTTTCCTGAACCCAGAAGAGTATTTGGCTTATTTGCCTCTGAGAGCCTCGTGAAATATAAAGAAAGGTTTCTTATGTCTACCAGGTTTTGTTGCTCCATTTGTCCTTCCAGGAAATCAGTTACACAAATGGCTCAATCAGTGTTGGAGCGAGTCCAGAGGAGGCCACAGAGACGCTCCGAGGGCTGGAGCCCCTCTGCTATGGGGCCAGGCTGAGAGAGTTGGGCTTGTTCAGCCTGGAGAAGAGAAGGCTCCGGGGAGACCTCATTGCAGCCTTCCAGTGCCTGAAGGGGCTACAAGGAAGCTGGGGGGGACTTTTTACAAGGGCCTGTAGTGACAGGACAAGGGGTTAAGGGGTTAAATTGAAAGCGGGGAGGTTTAGATTGGATATCAGGAAGAAGTTCTTGATGGAGAGGGTGGGGAGGCACTGGCACAGGTTACCCAGAGAAGCTGTGGATGCCCCATCCCTGGAAGTGTCCAAGGCCAGGCTGGATGAGGCTTGGAGCAACCTGGTCTAGTGGAAGGTGTCCCTGCCCATGGCAGGGGGGGTGGAACTGGATGATCTTTAAGGTCCCTTCCAACCCAAACCGTTCTGTGATTCTGTGAAATATAACTGAGTACCTCGGAGTAGGGCGATAGAAATGTAAGGATATTTTTTCAATGGTTTAGGAAAGAAGGACATCTCTTGCTTCTCATACAGGACACTGGACTTGCATTATTTTGGCTGTTAATGGAAAAGAGCTTATGTCAAATCATAAAGGTAAAAGTGTTATTTTATTCTGAAATAATTGTATTCTATTATTTTTGATCCAGATGTGAAATTAATAGAGTATCTTTCTTCATCTATTTGGTTTGTTCAAAAAAAGACAATCAGTTCGACATTTACCAAGGCACAAAGTGAGCTCCAGGACTTGAAGAGATAAATATTACCTGTTAGTAGATATTATTCACGTGAAAGACAGCAAAGCTTGTTTCTTATTCTTTGGGATGAGGTAACAAATTACTTGGGAAACTAGCACAGTTTCCCAGAAACAGGTGCCCAGCAATACTGAAACTGTAGAGTAAAGTTGATGGTTAACCTGTCTGACAGACATTTTCCTTCCCTCATTGTCTTTCACCAGCAGCATGGAACATTTAGCTGCTAAATATAAATGACTGCATATCCTGTAAACAAGCACCTTCCCTTTTTATGTACCTACCAGTTCTCTTTTTTCTGTTCTTCAGTCCATATGGGGCATGGCAACGTTTTTTGTATGGCTCATCTGTGTTTTCACTTGGCTAGGCATTCTGCGGGCCCAGAGAAGCCTGATGGAGTTGAGTGATGAAACAGGCTTTTCAGAAAGCAGTCGCTGGCTGTACTCGCAGATACGGTGTGATCTGTGATCACCAGGGATTAGACTAGAGGAAGAATTCTGTTGGGAGTCTCAGAAATAGAATTTTGGGGAGCTATAACCAGCTCATGTCAGGGCTGGGTCCAGCCCTATTC